ACTTTCTTTACATTTTTATTTCTTATAATTATTCCAGCCAACCGAATGATTTCAAATTTTCAAGACAGCTAAAAACCATACTAACAAAATAAAATTAAGATCTTAAACATCTATATAGTAGAAGCAAAAATACACTCTTGAAGTTGCAACATTGAATTCGTGTTAGTTTTGCTCGTCACTGTACATAGATTATGTTCTTGGCCGTCAAATTAAAAATAAAATTGCAGCATTTTGAGCGGTCCGAAAAATATTTCTTCAGCATCCCCTATAGTCGTGCTAGGGCTAAAAGATGCGGCCATTGAAGGTGTGGCTCAAATATCCTTGGATTTTTACAACTTTTTTTACATTTTTAATTTTATATTAACACTTAATACCAATTAAAGTTAAATACAAAAATTACTTGGATGTTAACTGCTCATAAGTGAATAGACAATTTAAAAAAGCTTTCGTCAAAAGACTTATGCTACTCAAAATCTCGATCCTTGCATGCATTCTTATCAGCAGAAAGAGAACGGAAAAGCTACACAGCATTAAATTTGGAATGCCTAGAGCTATCAATACACTCTTTGCTTTGCTCACAATTGTCGCTCATTTATGTAACGGTTCTAAGCAATGCCAGCTTTAATAGTCAAAAACGATTTTGTCAAAATATTTATGCCGACTAGTGTACTTGTTTAATTTCAATTAATTAATTAATTAATTAAATTAATTTAATGGCCAATGACTTAATTTCCGGATATCTCTAACACAGTACTTATATATAGCTTTTATATGCTATAAACTGTGATTATATTGCCTTAAAGCTCTCGAATCAAGCTTTAATGCCATTTTCAAGCACGCCTAACCAATATATTTTTGGGTGCTCTTTAACAGTACCTTTAAAACTACGCAATATTTACGGTAACTTACTTGCACAAATGAGTGCTTTCCATACTGTCTGTGCTGCATTTGGAGGTTTTGCTGCTGTTGACGAGAATTTATTTCTAATGATATTGGAAGATTCCAAGCCTCTTCAATTGAGCAAAGCTGGCGTCGTTTAGATGTAATACTTGGCAGTGGTGCTTGACTAAGCTGGGTTTCGAGGAATTTCACTCGTTGTAATATGCCCTTTGTCAGTCCATTTGTACTGCTTGTAAATAATATAGGTTTACTTCCTTCATTGACAGAATTTATTTTCTAAAAAAAAATCTTCATGTTTAATGCAATTTGTAAATCTATATTTGAAACATTCAAAAATCTCCAGACATGGCGACTTTGAATGAAAATAAATTAGTCTACTCCATATTTATAAATTTAAATCATATACAGTCAAGTCTAGACCATTTGTACCCCGCTTAACCGCAAACCGCGATAAATCGAAAAAAAATCTATTTCGAAAAAAAATTAGTTCTCGATAATTCTCGATTATAGAATTTTTGGGTGAATCGAAAAAACCAGAAAGCTCTAGAAGAGAATCACCTGAGCCCTTCTATGAACTGATAATTCTTCGTGTATTTCTGCTTACACAAGAAATACACCTGAACCCTTCTATGAACTGATAATTCTTCGCGTATTTCTGCTTACACAAGAAATACACACACAAACACACTCACAGACACATCTAGGCACGCATGCATAAACACGCATGGACTGCAGTGTGGTTTTACTATATGAATCTAGTTATACCCTGAACCCATTGAAAACGGGAAATCAGGGTATAATGGTTTTGTTAAAAGTATGTAACAGACAGAAGGAGAAGTGGCAGACCCCACAAAGTATATAAATTCTTGATCAGGGCGGCGAGCTGAGTCGATTTGGCCCTGTCGGTCTGAAGATATAATAGCTAGAGACTTGACATTTTTTTCTACTAGAAACTTGTGCTTCGGCAAATGCATGCATATCCATGTACATCCACAAAAAAAAGGTATTGAACTATTAAATTCCCATAGTAAGCCACCACTGCAGCCAATGCGAGTTTATGCGTGCGCAGGTATGTCTGGGTGTGTGCGAATAATTATTGAAACTCAGTTGCTTAAAGGGTTCAGGGAATCTCGTAGTCGAGCAGTCTCGACTAGAGCTTTCTTACTTGTTTTTTTTTTTTTATTTAGATCGTTATTAACAGTGAAATGCGTGTTTTTGCACAAATCTCTAGTATTTGAAATACGCCTTTTACACATATATAGATGAGGAGTGGATATATGGGGGTGGGGGTAAATTTCAACAAATATTCTATAAAATACATATGAGTCTACATTTAAAATTTGCAGACTCTATAAGATATAATAAAATAACTAGTTTTCGATAGGGTTTTAATCGATAGCAAAATATCGGGTGTGGCTATCGATTTTTGAAGAAATTCTCGATATGCGCGTATATCTTCTGAAATCGACGCGTTTATACATACGGACTGACGAACAGACAGACGGACAGAGGTAAATCGACTCAGCTCGTCGCCCTGATTAAGAATATATATTTTTAATAAAACCATTACCCCCTGATTTCCCATTGAAAATGGGTTAAAGGTATACAAAAAAAAACTGACCCCCTTGTCATTTCGAATTATCGGGTCTCGAATGTATTATGAGTTATATTAGGAATACATTAAAAATATTAAAAATGCCAAATTTATACCTGGTTTGACGTTTGTTTCACCGCGTTGAGATAGCATGCGTAAGCATCTCGCAATTGCCCGCAACTTTCATATAGAATTCCCAAATTTGTCCACGCCGACTTATGCTCCTTATCTAATTGTACTGCGCATATGTATGCTTGTAGAGCATCTGTTGGTTGATTTTGCTGCTGATATAAAACACTATACATATTAACAAGTATTGATTGCTCATGATGTAAATTAATAAATAATATTACCCAATCGAGCACCAGGTGTCTGCATTCCCTTCACTTTTCTCGACAGAATTCCGATAAGCTAAAAACGCATCATGAACCTTATTCACGCCAGCGTAACATCTCCCCAATAAATATAATGATTGTCCACACTTTGGCTCTGCTTCAATTGATTTCTGTAGAAACCGTAATGCTTTCGATTCACGTTCTTTTTTTTCGCCTAGGCATTCGACACAATGATACATCCATCCTGAAAATGAAGAAATTTTTAATAATAATTAAATTAAATGCATTTATTTTACTCATTAACCGAAGTGAAATGAGTATTGGGTTTGTGCACTGTCAGCCTTTTCATCTGTCTGTCTTTCAGTATGAATGCAATCCATTTCGATTTAAAAAACAAGTAAGAAGACTCTAGTCGAGACTACTGGACTAGGAGATACCCTGAATCCTCTAATCTGATATTCTAATCACTCTGCACTTCTTTTTGGCACACATACATAAACACACACGTATTAGAACGCGCTCTGCTAACTGCGCAGTAAGCAGCGACTGCGCTTGGGCTGCGCTGCAGTGTGGGCAACATTATAAGAATTTATTTGTTGAATATTTTTAATTTCTAGACGTACAATCTTAATGAAACTTCAGAGCGTAATCATATGGG